AATTAAATGAATACGATAAATATTAAGTAATATAATCAACCAATAATTGCACCTCACTAATCTACCAATGGCAACTTCATGAATTGTGGCCAAGTCTACCACACTTGCCGCACTCGTACTGCTCGGGGTCAGTAACAAATGGGGTTCCTCTCCCACGCCTCGTTCTTCCAGATATCTGATCCATAACCATTATGTGCCTCGTCCTCTTCCTTGATCCACGCTTGTTCCAACGGTAAGCTGGATCCACAATGTACTTTGACCCATCATATGGAGGCCACTCTCCAAGGTCCCGGAAAGGCATGAAGCGGGAGCTCCATGTGTGCACAAGCGTGTCGACACTAAACTCGTGAGGTATCCTGCTCTCGATATTATAGTTGCGATGCCTAGCTGCTGCCACCAAATGGGAACAAAGAAAGTGGTACTGCCTTGATTTACCACAAGTGCAATTGAAATCTTGGAGGACAACCACATGCATCCTCGACTCTCGGACCTCATCGTCGAACGTTGTACCGCCCCTATGCTCGACCTGATAAGTCCTTGTGGCATGATCAAAGCATGTAACCTCATGTGTGCCAGCCCTTTCATTTGCCTTCTCTAGGTGCGCCTTCGGTTTCGGAGCCCATATCTCTCCATCACTCCGTAACTTCAATGCATGGGCGTGTCTATCGTTGAACCAGGCCACAAGCTTATAGAAGGTGAATTGAATGATTGCATTCACAGGCATACTACGTATCTCCAATAGCAACTTATTGAATGACTCCGCCATGTTGCTGCACTAAAACTCGTACCTCCATCCATCGGCGTCGTGAGCTCTCGTCCATTTCTTCAAATCCCTCATCAAACTAGTGACCCATTGTCTACCTTCTGCATTTGATGCAGTTTTGACCTGCTCCAACTTTTTCTGAAAGTACTTGTCCTCAAGCTATCGAGCAGCCTCCTAGAACAGATCAAAGTTACCCTTCACACCATCCTTCCGGAGTAGATTCTCGGCAAGGTGCCGAGTACACCAACGATGGTGCAAAGATGCATACCCCTCTATCTGCTCTCGCAAGGCATTAAGTATGCCCTAGTGCCTATCAGATATGACACCAACCTACCTTCTAGGCCCAACCACGTGTATCCGGACTAGCCTCAAGAACCATCCTCAACTGTCATTGTTCTCCTTCTTAACCAAAGCAAATGCCAAAGGAACCAACTTGTTTTTCGCGTCACAGGATATGGCTATAAGAAGTGTGCCCTGATATTTGCCAATCAAGAACGTACCATCAATGGAGAAGATGGGACAACAGTGCCTAAAGGCCTCGACACATTGAGGGAAGCACCAAAAAGCACGGAAGAATATCTGCCTCCCATCCTTCCATGCATTTGGTTTTGGGATGTACTCATAATGCATGCCTAGATTCACCGCTTTGATTGCATTGAAAAGTACTGGCAGCTGCTCGTACCCATCCTCCCAGTCCCCATATATCATCTTCCACGCTCGCTGCTTAGCCCTCCATGCTTTACCATAAGTTATCACATAACCTCCATACAACACCTCAATGTTCCTGATAATTGTCCTCGCCTTCATGTTGGGTTCTCCCTGTAATATTCCCATCAACTGCTTGGCAATGAGGGTAGATGTCAACTGTCGATGCCTCAGTGTCAGCTCATGGTCAGCACAATTGTGTGGCCCAACAACTTTTGTGATCTTCCACTTTCCGGTGACCGTTTGCTTCCTTGCACAAACCCTCAATGGGCAACGTTCCTTGTCACACACAACTGTGTAACGGCGCTCCGCATATGAATGCAAGACCTTGTAAGGTCTCTTTCGTATCACTGCAAACGCCTGCAACCACCTCTTCAATGCAGGAAGGTCATTGAACACCCTCCCATTCTCAATTACCATGTTAGGGCCGGCCTCAGGAGCTTCTAGGAGCTCATCATCACGTCCTTCTGCACACGGTGGATCCGAATGAGCAAGATCACTGAACTCGTGAAATATTAGATCACGGTGGCCGGAAAAGATACGCCTTAGCATCTCAACATCACTCTGTGTTAGCTCTCCAACAGGGCGATCATCATCAGAATCGAGAGCCCTTGCCATCTCATATGGCTCCGAATCATGCATAATTTCAACATTATTGGAGCCACGGAATCCATCTTCAAAGTGCACTTGCGCAGCAACAGGGGGCACATCCACATTCTCAGGAATGTCTCCTGTAACATAAGTAGAGAAATGAGAAAAGAATAAAAGAAATAGATGTAAGGAAGGGGGTAAGCTCCCACTAAGCATGCGGTTAAGACACTTACTCGGATGATTCTATGTCAAAGGGATCTCATGAGGAGGATCTGTCACAACAACATGAGTCTAACAAGCATATCCAACTACCGCATTGGGGGCAGATTGAGCATCGAGAACCGTAGATGCAACCTCCACATCCATATCAGGTTTCGGGACAGGAGGGTCGATGTGTGCCTGCTGACCCATTGGTGGGGAAAACCCATGAGAGATGGGATCAACTAACACCCGACGCACAACCACGTCTAAACATTGCAGCTGGCTTTTCATAGCCGATCTCACATAGTTCTCCCACTGATCCGCACAACTAATTGGGATCATTCGCCTGATAATGTTGGGAGGAGAACCTAGGTGCAATACACCATCAACTGCAATGCCATCATCTCCAAGGCAATGCAGCTCCTCCCGAGCCCGTGCAAGCATCTCACTAAATGAAGGCCAATCATTGAATAGCACATGCACGCTTTGTATGTCAACAAACTCAACATATCCATAGCAATCGTATTCAACGGTGCCTCCATAATATATGGTCACTAGGTTGTCCATATAGTTCAAACACATAACGAAACACATGTCCTTTAGTCCAAATTAGACGCTAGATAGTACCTAACAAGTACTTTCTAACTACAAACTAAGTAAATAAGATAACAGCTACATACATAGATACAATGTACTAACTAAATAGCTGGGTCATATTTAGTTAACTAAATATGTAACTACCTATCTAAGTAGCTATCTAACTATATCTATATACCTATGCATCTATGTTTCTATCTATCTACATATATATCTCACTAGATCACTAACAATCAACTAAGTCATCACATTAACTAGTAAATAACAAATGCCAACTAAGTAGGTACATTGTATATTCACAATTTTTTACCTTTGCAACGACTGATCCGCGGACGTCGGCACGGGCAGCCAATTAGGCGAGGCCGGGCGTGGGCGGCACGGCACGACACGGCGGGCGCCAAGCGGCACGGCGCGGGCGCGACGTGGCCACGGCACGGTCACTGCACGGCGGGCCCGGCGCCGGCGCGGCACGGCGCAGGGCGCGGGTCCGGCGCGGTGGCTGCCGCAGCCGCGGCCGAGGAAGCGGGGAAGGGCGGCCGGCGCGGGAGCGGGCCGCGCCGCGGGCTGGGGGCGTGCGCGGGGCCGGCGCAGCATCGGGGCTCAGGGCGGGCGCGGGGCGAAGACGGCGGCCGGGGCGGGCTCCGGGCGCGGCGCGGCCTCGGTGGCGGGGCGGCAAGGGCGAGGGCGAGGGTGAGGCCGCGCGGGCTCGGGTGGCCGGTGGCGGGCTCCGGGCGCTGCGGGGGCGGTGCTCTGCTCGGCTCGGGCGAGGGAGATGCGAGAGAGAGAGGGGGAGAGGAAGAGAGAAAGAAGGGCCCATACGTAATAAAGGCTCGGCGCTAGTCACCCTGACGCCGAGCTCGGCGCCCTTGCCATGTCACCTCCACGTGGGTCTCGAGCCCAAGAGCTACGCTGGCGCCGAGACATGTTAGTTTGGCGTCAATATCGATGGTGCCGCACTAAGGGTGTAGATTCTGAAATCTTTCCTTCAAAGACGTATTTATAAAAAAACTTTTAAAAAAGGGACTAAAATAATAAAAAAATCAGCCGGGCGCCCCTGGGATCTTGTCGGCGCGCACGGTACGGCGCCCGAGTCCGGTGATCGTACGCGCCGTGCTGTGGTACTCGTGATAAATCCGGGCCCCCCTTTAATTTGACGCTGATCGTTCGGATCATCCCTCCACCTCCACGGCGGGCTTGGTACTGGCCAGCTTCATGATTCACGAGCAGCAGCAGTTCCAGGCTCCAGCTACTGCCACCAGTACAGGCCACAGCTCTCCCGTCGTGTATGTTCTGTTCATGCGCCGTGGTCCTGTAATCCCGTCCTGTCCTGCACGGCTGCACCCACGGCGTGCACAGTCGCGCCGTGCGTACATGTAGCAGCGTGGTGCTACAGCCAGCGTATGGGGAATATGGAGCAGAGCGGTGCAGGTGCTACAAGCCTACAACGAAGCAGCTGGGCTGGCCAGCTGGGCGCTCCAATCACGTCGCGTTCGCATGGGTCGCTGCTACCGGCCTTTCCTTTCTCTTTGTATTGCACGCGGACGGTGCAGGTAATTAATCACGTATCTCTATCCGCCTGCGATGCGATACGCGCGGCAGCGAACAAGCTGCTGCTATCATACCAGGCCACCAGGGTACCACCACCACGAGTCCACGACACGGACGCACAAGAGATTAGGTGGGGTGGCCCAGGCCCATGGGTGCAGGTGCGGCGCGGCCACCGGTGGGGACGTGGGGTAATGATGCGTCGCGCATGTGGTAGGAATGGCTAGTAGCTAGCGCTCGCGTCCGACGCGACGCAAGAATAAGGAGCAGGAGTGGCAAGTAGGAGTAGCTACCGCAGAGCTATTTGATATACACAGAATTATATATAGTGCATGACAATGAGTTGCTACAAACAATGCATCCGCCGTTCTTTATTTATGCACTTGGCATGCTCCTTGAAGAATGGTATGGTGGACACTACAACATCTCATTCTACAGGCTAAGAAATTCACACTGTCTACATAGGAGTACTAGGCGTAACTACAGAGTATGCACACTGTAATAGTTCAAGAGGGAAAACAGGTCCCAACTTCGGTGACGATGGTACCGTACAGTATTTCCAAAGAACTTGGAGACTGGCCATACATAGCTCATCTGCTCATGGGGCTTCAGAAGGAATCCCGTGGTAGCCAATAGTAGAGTGTTCTGAGCTGGAAGGAACAGCATTGTACTGACCATAGCCAGCATAAATTCCCAAAGCGATGAGACTAAGGATGACAAATCTATACCAAGCTTCTTCGTGTAGCTGCCAAACAAATTCTCATTGCCATCAGTCGTGGGAATTTGGTGGTAAATATTTGTTAGCAAGGCAACACCACAAAGGAATTCTTTTCAGTATTGAAATCTGTGAGTGGAATCAGAATAGAGCAGCGCAAACCTGAGCAAACAGGACCATGTTGAAGAAAACAGAGATAATGGGAAGCAACGGTACCCCAGGACATGAAAAGCCAGGTGGATCCATATAGACCTGGACAGGAAAGTTTAAGAAAAACAATGCATCAGTAAGTTGAGGATGAGCATCAGTGCGTCTAAATATTTAGTAGCATGACATCTTTATCCATGGTTTCAAACAGCAAAGCAACATGAAACAATGGATTGCACGCATATAGGATTATGTGGGTACGAAGTAAGTAGGCCAGATAGATATAAATGGAATTTACCTGATGGAACTGGAGAGCAAAACTGGCAGCAACAGCTATCACAAAAGCTACTACCATAAATGCTATAGCATAGTTAAAGCGATAGCAAAATCCCACTATAAAACCACAAAGAGCAACTATGACAAGACATAGAACACCCTCTTGCCAGATTGACATACTTCCAAGGGAGCGACGACTAGTTCCTTTGTCATTCCATCTTAGTGTGATCACACAAGCTGACACAACTGAATAACCGGTCTGCTCACAGAAAGAAATAAGGAAAAAAAAAGTAGCAGTTACATGCGACTGTTTGATGATGAGAATGAGACATTGTGGTTGAAACATTTACTGAAATTTCCATACCAGAGTGCCAACGGAAAGAATATGGGAGAGCATAGACACATTAAAGAGGCCTGCCATGACTGCTGCAACACAACCAACCCAAATCTGAGATTGTAGAGGAGTATGCCTCGTTGGGTGCACTTTAGCAAATACTGAAGGTAGAAGCCCATCCCTTCCAAGTCCAAGATACAAACGTGACTGTTTACAATTAAAAGGATGTAATCCTCATCAAGTAGATCAATTTGATTAAGTGAAACCTACTATTGTGACCTAAACATACATAGTCAAGTCAGAAGGTATTACCTGAACATACAAGCCAACAAGAAGTGTTGTAGTAAGTCCAGCAACAGCTCCAATGCTGATCAATACAGTAATAAATTTCAGTCCCTTAGAAGCAAAAGCCTCAGCCAAAGGAGCATCTTCACCAAGTAATGTATATGGAACCATTCCAGTAATGACCAAGCATACAGCAACGTATAACAACACACATGCTAGAAGGCTTCCTAGTATACCAATGGGCAAGTCCCTCTGGAAAATTTTGTTTGCGTGAGCAGGAGAAGTTAGAATGCATTTCACACTATTATAATCTATAGATTATGTAAAAGTCGAATACTGACATTCACTAAGCAATAGAATATGGCCATAAAAGACAAGGCAATAAATCCAGCATATGAATTACCTGTGGCCTTTTGGCTTCCTCAGCAGAATTAGCAACCGCATCAAATCCAACATATGCAAAAAAGACTACTGTGGCTCCAGTCACTACAGATTTGAAACCATTTGGCATAAATGGTGACCAGTTTGATACATCCACCTCAAACACACCAGCAAATACAACGACTATAACAATGATTATCTGCATTTGGAAACAGGTGCATCAGTCCAAAGTAGTAAACAACATTGCATATGCCTTCTACCTCACAAACATGAAAAACTAAATGTAGAGAAACATAACACCTAACATTAAAAAGCATTGCCTTGTGCAAGCACAAAAACTCTTATCATAGAAAAACTAGTATCATATGGAAAGGCTCACTTAGCCACCTACCTAACAACGATGTTACAGGAAAATATCACCTAGCCAATTAAACAATGAGCAAGCTCAAGTTGCAGCGAACACAAAACCCAATGGCCCTGTTCGCTTGTCTTATAATCCGTACTTTTCAGCTTGTTTTTTCAGCTGGAACAGTGTTTTTCTCTCACGACAAATCAGTCGGAACGGTGTTTCGGCTTGTTTTTCCAGCGAAGCGAACAGGGCTAATATGAGCATGTAAGCAATCTTACCTTCAATGTGGTCATAAATGTGTTCACTGCTGATGACTCTTTGACACCGCAGCAGAGAATCGCAGTTAAGATGATGAGAAGAATGGGGGCCAATATATTAATTGATATGACACCACCAAAAAACTCCTCTCCATGCCCTATCCAGCTTGGAATTTGTCCCTTCAAGAACGGGATTAGCTCCAAGAATTGGATAAAGTAGCTTGCTAAGCTACGAGCAACGCTTGCTGCACCGATATGGTAATCCACCATCAACTGAGTGAAGACCAAGAAGGCGGTGATCTCATTGAACGCTGCATACGTGTACAAGTATGCTCCCCCAACCACAGCAGGGAACCGAGATGCGAGTTCAGCATAGCACAATGCATTGAGCACACACGCAGCTCCAGCAAGAACAAAACTGATTGTAACGCCTGTTATATACCCCTCGTGTTAGTTTCAGTACCACAGAAACGAAAAAAAGGAGGAGATGCTACTTAGGCTAATAAAGTAACACTTCAGTTGGAGCATTTGAAGCAGCATAACAAACGAGTACTTCCGTCAATGCTCCACAACAAGCGTGAACGATGCCCCAAAATCACTGCCCCATCGTGCTGCTTCTACTTAGCCATGAAACCAACAAGTTATTGCTCCAGTGTAAACATTTTATACTGCAAATGTCGGCCTGGACCGAGCAGAAGCAGTGTTTTGTTTCGATTCAAATTAGTATGGGGCTGTAGGGTTGACCTGGGCCGGCGTCGCGGGCGACGGTGCCAGTGACGACGAATATGCCGGCGCCGAGGGACGCACCGATCCCGAGCAGCACGAGCTCAAGGACGCCGAGCTGCCGCACGAGGCCCTCGCCGGTGGCGGCGGCGGAGCCGTGGGCGCCGAGGGGCTTGCGGCGGAGCGCCGCGGCGCAGAAGCCAGATAAGAAGGGCCGGCCGGCGGTGGAGGAGGGCCTGTGGTCGTGAGCTTCCTCCATGGCGTCTGAAGAGATGGGGAGTTGGTGGCGTCGCGACTTGGGCCGTCGCGTCCTCGGCGTCCGCGCCCAGATCGAACGGAGTAACGTCGGCTCTTGCGTCATGCGGAGGCGGCGTGTGGCCCCGCCGCCGGCCGGGCGTTGGTCCGGATCGGGCGGTTACAGGGATGGAAGACCCTGGTTGGGCTGGCATTCTCCGCTCTTGGGCTGTAGCGGGTCTGTTAGGCTGAGCTTCGTTCGAGCCTGTTTGGACCTGTAACTAGGGGCAATCCCCTATAAAACCTAGGGCAAGGGCGCATTCGGCGTTTGGTAGCGTTTCTTCGTACATTTCTCTCAGGAAGAGTAAAAGGGCGAGTGGTTACAACAGCAATCAGGACTACTCCGTCAATATCGATGATTTGCATCCGTACGTTTACAAGATGAGTGTACATGCATCGGAGGCATCTATGTTGTACTATATAATTCTAAAAAAATATGTCAAAAAGAAGAGAAAATTATTTCCTTACCTTAAAAAAAGTTTTGTTTCTCCTTTGGTCCTCTTTATTTTGAAGCTACCTATTTAGCCTAAAAGCTATCTAGCCTAAAAGCTATCTTCAGTTTCTTACGTCTCCTTCCGTTAGTTTTTGAGACTTAATCGTGTTATAAGTTAGGACAAAATGAAGATTTTACCCCTAGGTGAAAAATTGTCTGTCTTATTTCGCATTGTTTAGGATTGTCATAATTGCATAAAATAAGGAATATAATATTTGTGAACAATACAAAATATCGCTCAAAATTAAACTCAGCCAATCTAAACTTTGCACCGATCATTTTTCATCCAAGGGTAAAATCGTCATTTTGTTCCTGTAGATAGCTTTTGGACAAAATAGATAACTTCAAAAATAAACCGGTATTGTTGTGCTAAGGAAGTCCGTCCATCCGGATGTTGTTGTTGATGGACCACGACACCGGTCAAAGCGCCCAAATCTCCATTTGCATATCCGCTCATCCCAAACCTTATCTCCTCGTGAGCGCGTTGTCCGTTCCTCTCCATTCATCGCATCATCATCGCATCCACACCGCCGCACGCATGCTCCAGCGCGTCAATGCCACCACGCCTGACCGACCGCCGTCCTCTCTCTCCACCACTGAAAATGCAATCAAGCCCTAATTATGGGTTTTAGTGATAATGGCCGCTCAATTAGAGGACTAATAGGATTTATCAAGATGACAAGCAAGGAATTTAGAATCGAGGATGTCATACAAAACGGAGAAGCCCCTAATTACAAATGTTAACGGCTTCAAACTCAAAGGAGGTTTATATTCTTTTATATTTCGAAATTGAATATAGGATAAAGTCGTACTATCAAGGAGAACACAATGCTTAAGCCAACTTGTGCTACCAAGTGCTCAATCTTACACGCAAGCGTACTCAAAAGTTTAGCCATGACAGCTTCCTCAACACTCTTTTATCTCTGCTGTCAGGCTTGGTGCGGCAGTGCCGCACTTGAGGCGTGGCTATGCCGCGGATAAGATGCGGCACTGCCGTGACTTATTTGACCATTGGGACCTAGGGGGTATTTATACCTCTTCCCTTCCCTTATAATGGTCTTCTTACTCGCCCAGCATTTCAGACTGACGCCTTTTGGCTCAGCTCTTGTTCTCCCTCTCCTCCATTTGTGTCCAAAAGTTCTCAAGCTTTTCCTTGTGATTTCCCCATCAATCTTTGAGAGAAAAAGATACCAAACTCGATTAGAGAGCAGATTCACTGATTCCCCAACTCAAAAAAACACTCGGTTTATGTCGGTATTTTGAGTAAGCACCGGCTAGTAAATTTGTATATTGCGCGTCTAACCCGGATGGTGTGCTAAGAGGACATAAGAATTATATTGGTTCGAACCGAATGTCCCTACATCCAGTTTCGAGCTGCTCGTGTTACTAGCACTGAGTTTGTAGTAGGGGGTTACAAAATGGCGAGAGAGGGAGGTAGCTCCCAAGTCTCTAAGGTTCGGTTGCTTGGTGCTCGATGTCTGATGCGGTGCGGTGAACCGATTCAATGCGATGTGCGATGAACCGATCTCTCTAGTGGGACGCCCTGCTTTCCCTTTTATAGGTCAAGGGAAAACAGAGGTTACAACTGAAGGGGAGAGAAAAAAGGAAAGAGAAAATAAGGCTTCCGGAGGTGTTCCGTCCTCCTCTTCGCGTGGGTCCCGCTGACCCTGCAGATCATGGTGGCAGCGGCGTTGTACCGGGGTCCTGTTGACCACTGCAGCTTACGTGCGGGCGTCGCGCGCCATCCTTGTCTTCCATCCCGTCCGAGTGGATGGAATGGTCAGAGAGTCCCCTGACAGAGGCCATACGAGGGGCTGGTGATACAGCGCCAGTCAACTGACACTGGTTGACTGACGTTGGACGGTGCTCAGGCAGGGAGTTGGCAGCACAGCGCTGGCCTGTTGTCGACACAGAATTTTCGTCCCGTGCTGAGGACACACGTAGCAAGCCGGAAGGGTCTGCTCGATGGAGCTGTCGATCCGCCTAGCTTCAGCGCGGGGATGGTCGATCTTAAGCACTCCTCCCAAGACGTGCCAGTCAATTTGACCCTGTAATTGACAAGGAGAGAAAGTTTATCAGTAATTAAGGGTGGAACGTGCCGGTGTTGCCAGACAGTCCTGAATGTGTGGCTCTGAGAGCCGATATGAAAGGAGATCGACTAAACAGTCGATTCCAGCATATTCGCAAGAATAAATCGGTTAAGGCTCATTGGGTTGTATAAGAAGAATCGGTTATCATTCAGGATAAATGTCGTTATTTGAACAAATATTAATCAATGGCAATAAAATGTTAACAATGATTGGTTTATGCAAAGCCAATGATTACAGGTAACTGAACCCCTTTTTATATAAAGAAACAATTCAACACCACTTAACCGTTTAATAAAGGTAAATCTAATGAACATGTTAGATCTCATCTATCGCTATGACCAGTGAGGCATGAGGCAGAATCATGCAGGCCGTAGAAATAACAATAGACTCGATGACCCTAACTCATTACTAATATCAGTGGGGCATGAGGCAGAATCATGCAGGCCGTAATACAATAATAAGATCATGGGGCTAACATATCTTTCAACCTATCTTTACTTCAATGGTCTCGTGATGCGAACTGTTCGTGAAAGCACTCGATATCGGCTAAAACAGCCGATTCAGGCATAATGCACAGTTAAAGTCATGCCTTATCAGGAATAGATCTATCAAATAACGATCCCCACTCCACGGTGCTAATAGTGGGGTGTGAGGTAGAATCACACAGGCCATGATAACGGGCCATGGAACGGTTCTCGCTAGCCAATAAATCTACTCAAGACGCAATATGCTTTAACCGCACACTATGCACGATCAAGATTGACGTAAAACAGCCGATAAAACATAACTCATCGTTTAACGTGTAGATTAAATCAGTTTTAGATTAACAAATGATGGGCTAAACAAGATATAAGGCTGATCTAGATCAATCCCAATCGGGTAGAGTGATATTGCTGTATTTAGATAAATAATGAAAGCAATAAGCAACATCGGTAACTTAATGAATCTACCACAGACTGCCATTCTAAGGTAGAGCCGATAACTTGACCTTGATCTAGTTCATGCAGTGGGGGTCGACTGGATCGATGCAGCCATACTTGAACTAGGCAAGAATCGATAACTAACTTATACCAGAGTCGCAGTGGAGGTCGACCGGATTGATGCAGCCGTACGAACAGAGGTATAAGCCATGATGGTACTTACAACAAGCAGTGGAGGTCGACCGGATCGATGCAGCCGTACTTGCTGAAGAACTCACCGAGATCTACTCTACTCCTACTCCTAAGGGGTGGCCGGAGCCGAAAAAGTAAATGACTTGTATATTGGATTGATTGTTGTCTTTTACAATAGCCGGGCTTTGATATTTATACCCGAGACCTGCGTATGACTCCTGTCTAAGCACGACTCATCACAATTTTTGACCCTAGAGAAAACATTCCTAATTTAAGATAACTTGGACCCTAATCTTTTCCTTTTTGTAGAGTCCAACATGTCTCGCCCTGGCGCCGATCATAACCTTTGTCATTATCCGCTGGCGCTATCTGAAGAAAGCCGATTCTAGTTTCACGTTCAAATCAGCTGGTTCTGATCATGCAATTGATTCCTTGATGACATGATCTTGGGAGCTTTCGAGTCCCTGAGACCCTTCTTCCAAATTTTGGTGTAAACACATGCCCCCCCCAATTTTGGGATAAAAGTAATTTTATTCTAAAATTATCATGTCTGTATCCCTGATTGGTCCACAGTCACGGGTAGAGAACCTTGATCTGGGGTCCACTGTTTGTCGCCGCTTGTGTCAACTCATGAGCCTATGCCTCAAAACTTTTACAAGAGCGTCACTGCTTCACGGGCACTTGGATTCATCTTTTCGGGCCGGCTATAAAATGTCTATCCAATCCTGGCGAGAGCAACTCAATAATTCAGCCATGTTTTTCTTCCATCTGCTCCCTCGAGCACCTCTAGTTCCACCAGACCCTCCATGGTCCATTCTCTTGCTATGAAGATCTTGAGCGGTTAGAAGAATTCTTGTGCATAGGGTGATTGTGTTGCTCATTCTAGCTCCTTGTCGAGCAAGAGGATCAACTATTGTGGCTTGAAGTCTTGTGATATCACCTGCGTCTTCTTACCATGCTCGCAGAGCTGTTCTAGTGTCTGCAAGGGCTAAAATATGTGGACACCTTCCCCTTGTTCGTTCCACCAAATGCCCACCATGAAAGCCACAGGCTTCTTTCCCACAATTCACCAAGAAATCAGTTGGGCATCTGTTGGGCGGCCTTTCCCCTTTTCCTGGCACAATTCTATCAACGGGCCGACGTGACTCGGTTCAGATGACCTTCGGCCTTGTGAGGGTTCGGACTCCCTTCAATCCAAAGAAATATCGGTGGGTTGGTCTCTGGTCAATGTAAATTTTCATATCTGCCCCACGATATTTTGTAATTCAGG